ACCTTCATGGAGCCCATTTCATTCTCTGCTCTGAAGAATTTTTGTATTCCTTTGCACACAACTTTTGCTTACTTGTCCCCTTTCTAAGGATTTTGGTTAGCTTCAGAAATATTTATAGCTGGCTGCAGTATTTCATGTGTAATGGTATAACATTATAAATTTTCTGTTGATGGTACAGGAAAAAACCCCAAGTCCCCAAGTCTTTTACAGATAGGTGGTCTGATATATGATGGTGTGTGGGAACGCCAGAAGTCTTTTAATGTGTCTATGTTAGGTTTGGGATTTAGTGTTCTTTTGTAGATCATGGTTTATAAAATTGTATTATAGCAGAACTTAGAAAATTCTTTTGCTATTGAATGCAATCTGTTACTGGGAAAACTTTAAATGGTGTATACTGAATATGTAATTAAATACCCACCAGAATCTGTTTCGTTGCATGTATGCCTAAGTATTTGTTCAAATATCTGTTAAGGTATCTGTCAGAATTGAAGAAAACTGTATATTTAAATATTTCATTGACTTGACAGTCTTAGTTTATTACTAAAATTGTCTTTAAAAAGTGTAATGGAGTAGGGAGTGCTAGGGAGCAGATATGAATTTCCTTATTCTGCTACACTGTGGGTTTTTTTAAAGGTTACTATGCTTCTGCTTTGCAAAGAAAAAGAAAAAATCCCAGCAGTCTCATGACTGGCTAAGTTAAAAGTTTCTTTTACCAACGTCATGATTTAACCCCAGCTACAGCCAAGCCCCACTCACTCCCCCACTGGAGAGATCAGGGAAAGAGTCGGAAGGTTAAAAATGTAGGGAACTTGTGGGTTGAGATAAAACCAGTTTAATAGGAAAAGGAAAAGCAAAAGCCACACACACAAGCAAAGCAAAACAAGGAATGAATTCACTGTTTCCCATGGGCAGACAGGTGTTCAGTCATCCCCAGGAAAGCACAGCCCCATCACGTGTAACTGTGTGCTTGGGAAGACAAACAGCATCATTCCAAATGCCCCTTTCCCCCTTCCTCCTTCTTCCCCAAACCTTATATACAGATCATGAGTTCATAGGGTCTGGAATATCCCTTTGATCACTTTGGGTCACCTGTCCTGGCTGTGTCTCTTCCCAGGCACTCCCAGCTCCATTGCCTTTGTGGTAGTACGAGAAGCAGAAGAGGCCTTGGCTCCATGTAAGCTCAGCAATAACAAAAACATCTCTATATTAACAATCCCGTGTTCAGCACAAATCCAAAATACAGCCTTGTACTAATCACTATGGAGAAAATTAACTCTACCCCAGCTGAAACCAGCACAACCAAGGATATTAAATTTGAGTGTTTTAAAGAAGGCAGTGGAAAATAGGTGAAGAAATTTATTGTGGGAAATATTTATTGTGTGAAATTTAAGCTGAAAAAAAAGAAATTGTGGTCTTCAAATGTTACCCCGATGCTCTGAGGAGTGGCATCAGTGAAAATGAAACAGTATTCATTCATGTACCTTATGTGATGTAGACATGAATGTCCTGAAAAGTGTAGGTCTATTTATCTGCATAATAGGGAGTTCCTGGCTTCCACATCAGGCAAAGCAGCGTCTCCTCTCAGCCTTGCTGAGCTGCCCATTCTTCAGAGAGGTGCAGAAACAGCAAGTGCCACTAGGTGAGCTCTTCCTCACCTGCCTAGGCAGCTGGACGTGAAGCTGATAAAGCCAAGCTGCCAAAGAGTGCAAAACCCTGGAATTGGTACAGAAGCTGGCCCTGCTTAATCCCTACATGACATAAAGGGGAAAAGAGAGTACTTCTCCCCAGAAACAGCACCAGTGCAGAACACCCTTTACTCCACATAGGTTATAGTGTCAGCATAGCAAGGACATGAACCTGTAAATATTTAGAAAAATTATTTCCGTTCAGTAGAGATGACCAACTTATTTGCAGAATCTGGTTTTATTTATATCACAGTTTTCTATGCTAACCCCTCAGTGCAGGGTTATAGGTAAGTACAGCTCTAAGTGCAGCTCAGACAAGCAGGTGCAAAATGGCCTCTGGAGCTGTCAGCCTTGGGACAAATGATGCAACCAGACCTAAACTCTCCCCAGCTCTGCTCCAGCAGCCTCTGGGATAGTCAGCCCATAACTTCTCCCTATGTTCCCCTGCCCTCACAGGCCCTTTTTCTGAGAGCCAGGAGCTAAATACTGTAAAAACAGCTGCTCTGTTCTTGCTGCTCTGCTCTTGCTGTTCCAGTGTCTCATTTTAAACACAGTCAAAGACATGAAGCAAACGGGTTTGTTATTTTTATCTTACTCGTTACATGATTCTCTGTCTCTCTGTTACTCTCTTTCTACATGTTCTGCTTGTAGATTATAATTTGTGAGGGACCTTTTATGCATACAATAAATGAGGAGTCATGCTGCCCTTGCAAAGACTCAGTAATTTCCAAATTAGTGTCCCAATCTACAGGCAAAAATAGTCATAGTTGGTTCTGATTTCTTTCTAAAAAGGATTTCATTGTCACCATTTCTATGTTGTAATACAAGTACAGACAAATGGAAACAGCTTAGAAGTTAAATCGTAGCACTGGGCAAACTGATTCAGTGGCATTGAAATGTCATTTCTAGAATTATCCGGCTTACTGGGGAGTGTTTCAAGGAATAACCTTCTGGCGTGGCAGACTATAGTGGAGGGATTAGATGGGGCTTGGACAGCAGGCCAAATTCTGCCGGTGTTAATTAGGATTCAGTGAACATAAGTGAGGACAAGAACTGTCCCAGTGATTGCCATTTTACTTTTTAAACTTTTGTGGCATATTTATTTCCATTTCCATGTTACATTCTTTATTTCCAGGTAGAAGCAGGCTCATACCCCTTTGACTTATAAAAAGAAAATAAAAGATAATTCTACAAAGTCCCAGAACTGGCTTTTTTTTTGTTAAATTTAGGATATGTTTGGGACCCTGTTTTCACAAGAAATACATCTGATTTTAATTTTATCTAAGAAACTGGGCAATATTACCCATGAGCCAGGACCTAGGGGTTTGAAAGTTTTTGAAAACATCCTTAGAACTTAGAAAGTGCTGTTTACATGGGGTTTTCCAGAAAGACAGGAAGGGTCCTAAGGAAGCCACAAAGGGAAGAATAGGTGCTGAGCCAGCGAGGCAGTTTGCACAGTCCTACAACCCTCCCTGCTTCTGCAGGAGAATGGAAAGAGGGAAAGAAGTTGAGGGTGGAAAGTTTTGGATTTGACTCCCAAAACCTGTCAGCAGAAGAACATGGGAAGTTAAGATGGACAAGCTTTACCTGAAAATCTTAGCATGATGCTTTGCATGCTTCCTAAATTGCTGTTTAACAAAATGAAATTAAAGACATAGCTTTTAACTTCGAGTCAGTGTGAGTGTAGAATAGAATATGCAGCCCACTGCCTTCTGCTTCAAGAAACTAGAAGAAAATTGATCTGATTAAATACCATTAATACTGTTACTTTCAATAATGTTCTTTTAACTGGGACTCTGCTATTTTTAGAAAATCATGTCAAAAGTTCAAGTGCTAAGAGGTGATATAATTGTAATAAGCTTCTGACATAGCGAAGGGAACTTTTGGATCTGTGGCTGCAAGGATGACTGTGACTGATTTAATGGTGTTCAGTAGGAGCTACCAAACAGTTTTCTGAAAGGAGAATCTAGGACAAAGGTACTTGTATTTAAATAATTTTATGAGGAAATAAAACAATATGTGAGCTGTATTTAGGCCCCTTCATTTTAACCTGGGAGAAAAATGCTGATATGCTTGTGGTGAGGAGTGAGGAGGAAAAATGCATCTGGCTGCTGGATGACAGATCATTTAGGGGGAAGGGATGTTTCCTTGTCTGCCTTCTACTGGGCATCTGGCAAACTGCTAGTTTCACGATAATTTCCTGAAGTTCAATGTGCAGTGATTAAGTCAGTTTTTAAAGACTTCATTATTCTGCTATATAATTGCTCGGTTTACTAGTATGTGGTTGAACATGGCCAGGTTTAAAAACCAGAAGCAATTACTTCTAAAATCAAGCAAGTTTCATGGACAAAGGTTTAAGCCTTATACAGTAACTCATTATTTGAGTTCTGTCTGTTTCCTTATTTAGACAATTAGCACTGGAAAAATGTTTAATGACTGTCTATGTTTACCCTGTTAATGGTTTTCATACTCTGTAAGTAACTCAGGGATTTTAATATTGTTTTCCATAAGGATTCCCCTTATATTTATACATGCTTTCATAGCTTTGAAAGTACTTTTTTTTACTACTGTAGAGAAATGAGAACCTTTAAAGTCAGTCCTGTGATTAACTGATAAGATTAGATAGTAAAAGAGGAAAATTCACTAGAAATCACTAACTTTTTGCCAGCCACCCTTGGCTCATCAAGAAAGGTGCTGGCAGCTGTTTGTTTGTGTTAAGAGGGGATGGCATTTATGTCTTGTGTTAAATCCTTGATTGACGTAAACTGCCTAAATCTCCTTAGGAAGAAGCAATCAGAGGGAGGCAGGCTGGGCGGGTGGGCAGCGGTGGCAGGACAAACGCCTGTCTGCTGCCAGCTCTGCCAGGGACAGACCCTGCCTCTGTGCCACAGCATTGGATGGGGTGGGCAAGGGACTGAGCTCTGCATCAAAGTGGTGGCTTGAAATGCGACTGTGCTTGAATTTCCTCTCACAGCAAGATAAGGAGTAAATTCTAAAAATGGCAAAATGTAAGGGAAAGTTGATTTTTCTGCTCTGTATGGGATTTCCCCTCAATGGCCCATGTTTCTGGTTTGGGGATTTTTGATGAAGAGTTGCAGCATTCTGCTTCCTTAAGTAATCCCATGCTGCAAAGAAGGGGGCAAATTGAAATGATGTTGCTTAGTAGCAAGAATATCTTTCCATCTCAGTTAAACCAAAATAAAACTGGTAGTTTTGCAGCCTTTTATGTGACCTGTTTCATGACCCTACTGGGCTCGGTGGTGGCAAACTGATAGCAGAGTCTTTCCTTTCTCTTGTGCACTGTTTCTCACACAGACTGATGAGGAAGCATATCAGGAGATGAGAAATACATGACAAAGGAGAGAGGGGCCTCTGAACTCTCCATCAAAAGGTATCTGTCACAAAATGTCCTGTGAAGCAGCTTTAAACCAAAAATACTGGAGATGTAGCACCTTCCAAATGACCTGACTTTTCCATGTATCTGCATTATTTATATTCTTCATTACAAATTCATTTTTGTCAGAGCTGAGCTAATAGATTTACAGCAGGAATAATTTTGCAAGTAATGGATCTTTATTTAGCTCTACTGGATTTCATAAGGAAAAGAGAATTAGGAATTTTGTTTTGAGGAAACTATTTCCTGACAGTTCTCAGGTAAGGTCAAGGTCTTTAAAACAAAAGCGATGTTATTGTATGATTAAATTATTATTTTTGGGGTGTTTTAAGAAAATAAGATTTAGAGCAGGGGTTCACTTGTAGGCTTTTTGGTTGCTTTTTCTAGGAGCACCACTGTAGGAGAACAATAGAATAAGTTGAGCTAGAATGGCTTAAAAGAAGGAAGGAAAATCACACTGGTTAAAAAAAGTCAAAATATGGTGACAGGAACAAACAACATAGAGGTAGAAGGGAATGGTAAAACAGAAAAAAATGATGATTAAGAATTGAAAGTGAGCTTTTAAGTCAGCTTCAGTAACAGCTGGCTGAATAAAAAGGTGGGTGGAAAAAGACTCATGCAGAAGTTACCATTTGAAACAGAAGTAATCAGAACAATTGAATTCTTAAAAATGTATCTGATTTATAGATATTCCATTAAGGGGCTACACTTGGCCTTCTAGTATTTTGAGGTGCGCTGAAGTGGTAATTGAAAATATTAGTTTATTTTCTTTAACTCAAGATTCATTGTTGTCAGACATCACAAAACTCTTCTGTTTTTCTGCATTGCCAATAACATTTGCACAGAACAAGGAAGAAAACACCGTCTGATAAAGAGTGCTTTGTCTCTGTCTTCGGTGTGCTGTTAATGAAACAAATAAGTAACAATTAGGAATTCAGTCTGAAAATGTATCATAGTTTCTCATATTTGAAGGAAGAGGTGCAGAAGATTAATTCCATGTTTCTCCACCATCCAGGAGCTAGAAAAGGAGTGTCCCTCCTCCCTCTCAGTGTCTCAGCAGGGTGGGCAGAGGGTGTTGGGTGGGCAGAGCAGCACTGAACAAGCTGCAGCCATGCATCAGATTCAAAATTGCTCCTGTAGTAAAATATGCTCTTTTTGAAAATACTTGTATTTGATTCAATCTCTTTTCTTCCTTAATCCCCTTCCCTTCTTTTATTTCTGTTACATAAGAAGCCTAATTGTTTTTATAATTCACATTATTTCTTTTCTACAATGTATTCATCTCTCTGCATCATGAGCTAATCCCAAAATATCTGTTGTGTACCAGAAACAGCAAATGTCAGTTTTGTGTTCTGCTTTAGCTTGGTGTTACATTATTTTTTTCTCTTTTCTAGAAGCTTCTTTCTGCAGCCTTTTGTCTAAATGCTGCACAGCAATCCTGTGTGTTCCCTGGATCTGGGACACAAAATCATTCCCTTAATTCCTTTCTCTGATTACTTTCTGATTCTGACCCCTGTCTGGAGCTGAGGCACACAGACTTTGTATGTTTGATTTGCTGTGCAACTGAAATCTTTCGTCAGCCAAGAATAAAAACAAACAAAAAACCCCACATGCAAACCTCTTCTCAGCAGCTGTTCAGGAGAGGGCACAGTCTTGGGGAGCCATGAAGTTTTAAATTCTCTGCAGATGCTCCAAAGTGAACATGTGCTTTAATCTGTATTATGTATTACTGATCTGAATATTCCTGTGTCAAAAAGTTAAATTTTGTGTGGAAAGGAGATTAAAAGGGGAGTGGTGTCAGGGGTGAGTCTGTTTCAGAGAAAATTTGTCCTAAAGAGTTTTATAGAAAGTTGCAGAAAGATAAATATGTATTTTGAAATGATAAATATGTATTTTTTTAATGGATGCTATCAGCAAACCTAAGCCTGTGTGTAAAATGCCTGGAAATGGGGTAAAATTTGTGTGTAAAATGCCAAGATGTGGATATAACTCAGGTCTTAAACAAACATCAACTGCATTAAACTAACCAGGCATTTAAATGACAGGGATGCATCCAACACAATTTGTTTCATTTTATAAATTTCCTTTCACATACTTTACCAAATCTTTATGGAAATAATTAACTGAGAAGTGAAAAAGTAAGATTTTAAAAGAAAATTGATGAGCAGGTGAGGACATAAAATAGAAATAATTGATTTGGCTTAGAAACCATAGTGAAACAATCACCTGGAGGCATTTTAAAATATATTTATGGCCATAAATGGGGTGTGGCTTTGCCTATAGGAGTTACTGAAGCTGTCTAGCACTTAGGCTGTTTCGCTAAGTGTGAGCTGAGGAGCATCAGAGGTTTCCTGGCAAAGGAGAACAGCTCTGTGGAGCTGTCAGAACGGTCCCTGGTGTGCATTTGGCCAGGACTAACTCTGAGACTTACAGGCAGCTCTTGAGTGCTCCTTGGGAGAGCGCACAGGCCAGATAATTCTGTGCGACAGTTTGGATTCAGCCATCCTCTTCTGAAGTGGAAGAGAGGTAGTTTAAGACTTTGGGCTTGGCAACTCCAGCCAGGGCTGTTGGCTTTGGCTCAGGAGAATTTTCCAGGCATGTCGATGCATTAGACAGGAGTACTGTCCCAGGAGAGTAGGCACCAGTTTCTTTTCTGGGGCCTCTGATTGTCCTGCTAACTGTGAGGAGTGGCCCAGGAGTCCAGTGAGCTGGAAGGAAAAATTGTGATCTTTCTCCAGCCCTTCAAGGTACCTCTGTGTTTATTAAGAACCATTTCCATTTCTGCCCTTTTATCAAAGATGGTATTTGCATTGCCAAGACTACATTTTAGCAATCATTTGTAAGTCATTTTGGTCTTGATAACTCACTTAGCCGTAGAAGCTTTGAAAAACAATTTTCTTTTTTTAGCTGAACAGCTGATCTGAAATGCAGTCAGTGGTATTGCACTGTCAAAAGTATTAAGACTATTTGGTCTCCATATTCTACTTTTGAAAATAGTTCTGTCTAATGTTCTATGTTGAAAATGAAACTTTTGAAAAATAAATACTGTCATTAGCTATACAGCAAATTTAAACAAAGTGCAGTGTCTGCTGCAGCTTCCTGTTATGGGCAAAATGAGATTTAAATGTACTGTATATCATGTCCTTGAATCATGGAGAATATTAAGGACATAATAATGGGAAAAATGGACTGAAATATATTAGGAAAATAAAATAAGACTGTCAGCTGAAGTCTCTATTTGAAGAGATAATGTAACTTCCTGGGCAGTTCCTGCTGTCTCAGGCTCTCCCTCAGCTGCCTAGTTTATGGTAAAAAGTGCCATTTAATGTTGTAGGGAAAACTCCTTCCCATAACCCGGTACTTGACAGTGCAAACATCTGTACTGTGTAGCTTAGTGAAATTGCACAGCAGTTCCTTGTGCATTTTTTCTCCTGTGTGCAGTAATATAAAGGGACTGCTTGCACTTAGTGTCCCACATTTGGGTTTGATGTTTCTGGGAAATTTGTGCTCTAACACAACCAGAGTTTGTGTCTTATTTTACCAGAGGGAAAGCTAAGTCTGTGATCATAAGAACAGAACCAGAGTTAAAAGGGAAAAACATAAAAGGAACGAAAAAGAAACTTTAAGTACACTTAACACCAGCCTCCTTCCCTGGAAGATTTTTCAGAGGTATCTCTAAGCCCTGAAGGGGATTTAGGGGCAGCTTAGCACCATGATGCTTCCTGGGAGTTATGTTTCATATTGCCCTTTAAGCTAACTATGAAAGTTGAAGAACTTGGTGTGTATCTTCTTTTCTTCTCCTTCTTACCCTAGTTTATTAATTTAGCGCTTGACATAAAATATGCTGTACCAAATAAGATCAAAGATTTATTTAGCTGTTTGCAATATTAGCCAGTAGCAGAAATAGAAGTATAAGCATAAAGCAAGTGTGAAGTGATATCTTTCCATATAACAGTTTATTGTCCATGAATACTGGCACAAAAACTGCAGCTGTGGTACTATTCCTAAGCTTTATTTAATGCGTGTTTACTGGCTCTCAGTGGATTTGTATTCACAAATGTGTTGTGTCCACTCACTCTTTGGTCCAGTTCTGTCATTTGTTGTGTATATTACTTACTCAACAGCAATATGGTTTCTGAATTTACACGGCAGATGGCTGTGATGGCTTAAGTTTTTTCTTGACAACTGATCTTTAGATCAAAATGCAAGAGGAGGGAATGCTCCTGCCTTAAGGGGTTTGCCTGCATTTAAATAATGTTCTACCCATTAATTAGCACTTTTCTTCTACTTTAAAAAAGCTTTCTTCCTTTTTGTTGTCATGTGAAAGAATGACAAATTTTCTTCATGTCTTCCTGAGATTCCTTACAAGAGGTTCTCTTCTTCTGAGCTTCTTGGAGGTGAGGCACTGGTACTGGGAGCAGGAGGTTTCCTCTTACACACCAACCTTTGGTGCTATAGACGACAAGAAGATTGCATTCTCCAATTTCAAATGCTGAGGTGGTATTATGTGCCCTTTTGCCTGCATTCTACCGACTTAAACTCTTATTTGAAAAGCGGGGAAAATGTTCCCTTCATTTAACAGGGCTTCTTCTTGTGAAGATAAATTTTTTAAGCTATAGATAATGCTCATGATGAGCTTCTCATAAAATAGAAAAAAAACCCCAACAAGTTAATAACATGGGTTTCAGAACAATACAGGAGGCCTGTATACTCAGGGGGATAAAGAGAAGAAAAAATATATATAACATAGTAGATCAGTAAACATTCATATGTCTGCTGAAAAATGTAGGAGCTCCCTGGAAATGAGAATATGATTATGTAGGTGAGGACAAGGGAATTCAATTAACGTTGACTAAATGCTTAATTGCTTTATTTTGCAGTCTAGTCTCCTGTCAAAGTAGGTTATATGTGTAATATATTGTAGTTTAAGCTTGGTATGACTGTGGTTTTTATCATTCTTTCCCCATTTAAAACAAAAAATCCAAAGTACAGTGTTTGTTATTATTAAAAAGAGTGATAAACCTAAACAACTACAGTTAGCATTCTTTCTTCTTGTTACACTGTTTTATTGAACCTATTTCCATGTCTTAATTGGCAAATAATTGCTTTCCTAATCCAGATAAATTGTGTTGAGCTGTGAATTGAAAATCCCAGTGTTTTAGATTCGTGGGTGGAGACTGATGTTTGCAAAGGATCAGTGAAAATTCTGCATTATCAGCCTAATAAACTATTATTTCTATTGATACAGATAGATAATCTCAGATATTTTTAGACTGTAGTATTTTGTGATAAATAGTTCTCCAGTGGAGAACATGAAATAAATAGAGAGTGTGAATAATTCACTAAGATTGCATAGATAGCAGTTAGGAAAATAATTTTGAAATTGCATATTTTTAATCATTATAATGAACTGTTGTACTGGCCTATTTTTGATATAATCTTAGAGTTTGTAATCTGAAGACTGTTCTCTGATTTCCTGTAAATCAGTGCACCTTACTCTGGTAGTAGTTCTGATTTATCCATTTATTTCAGCAAGATTTTGTTTTCAATACTAGTAAGAATGAATTCTTTGCAAGGATTTAGTGATAATCCTGTTAATATTTTATTGATTTTGCATATACAAGGATGGATATAGATATCCTTGTATGATTTTTTTTTTATTGTCAGTAGAAAAAAAAGCAATTTAACTAGAATTTGCAATTGTTCTTGACTGGAGAAAAATTATGCTTCAAGAGAAAATAGATTATAACAGCTCATCATACTTCTGCATGACCTATAGCTTAATGGGCTGTTGTGTGGGGAGGTTTTACTATTTGATAGCAATCCCTTCCAAACTTCACTGAGGAGCTGCACATAGACAAATACGTGTTGACTCACATGATAACAATTGCTTTGTGTGGGCTCTGAAATAGTGCAGTGTGTCTTTTGTGTGTTAATATTAGATTGCTTTCCTGGCTCCTGAGTAAGATCAGAGATCAATCTGGAATTTACACAGTGAATGTAATACTTTTATACTTTGCATAAAAATAATGTAGGAGAAGAGTACTGACCCTGGGTCTTCTACCTTCCAGTAGTTCCATCTCTGGCAATACTGGCTGTGCTTTTTATCCCATGTACAGGTACGAATATTAATTTCCAAAGCACCAAAGTTAAAAAAAAACCACCACACCAGAATACATTGGAGATGTATTTCACACAAAATTGCAGTATTTATTTCATTATTTTCTTGGAAAATATGTATTAGCTGTTCCAAATTACAGGTGTCTGTTAAACAAAAACTAATATATACACACAGAAATTGTGTCTGCTGGAATTTGCATAGTTGAAATGGGGCCCAGATGTTGCAGTTATGTAAGGGCCTAATCTAAAGCCAACCAAAGAGAGCCTTGTGGGCTTCAGATCACGCCAATAAGAACATTTTCAGAAGAATTAACATTGAAGGAGATTGCAGTAAGCTAACATTGTCTGTAGATAATCTAAGTCTAAAATCAAAGTACACGAATGGAAGGGTTTGCCTTGCTCACTGTGGATGGAGTTAAATTTGTATTTGTATTTTAGTGTGGAAAAATGGGGACATGAATTATCTGTAATAAAAAACCCCCCTTCATTTAAATGTTATATGTATCTTAAAGGACATAATTTTTTCTGTTTGCTTAAGTATATGTGTGGGAGTGGTTAATTATTAATATTTTTAATGTGAGATGCTTTTGAAGTAGATCTCTTTTCTGCTTTAAAACTGATACAGCTTTGCATTGCGTAGCTATCGCTATGCATTTCAAAACAGAAATTAAGCTGACAAGGGATGTACACCCTTGGTGGGTTATTTTGTAGGGCTTTGCAGTGATGGAATTGCCCCACCACTACCAGTATCCTTTTCCCTGCTTTTGTTTTCTTTATCAATTTTATCTTAATGATTGAATAAAACCTCCTTAAAACAAACAAATAGTTTCCAAATAAGCCAGGTGTGTCACTGTCCTCCTGGAAGGGTCTGACAAGTGCTGGATGGTAGAGGGGAGGGAAGCACCTGCTGGGGGTACCAGGGATGGGGGCAGGAGAGGAGCAAGAGCTCTGCTCCTAGCAGTAGTGTGAATTTATCTAAACCTTTAGTTCAGCTGGTTTATGTGATGTTTGCATTTTTGTGCTGCACTCAGATTCCAGTAAATTTCCTAACACATCTCTCAGTGACATCTTAAAATCTCATTGAGTGCTAAAGCTTCTCCTCTGCAGAAACTAAAATCAAGTTGTAGATACTCTGTGCATCCTGCTTGCCTAACCTTTTACTTAACTGTGAACTGCTGTTGTGCATTGATCTTACTTGGTGAATCTTGCAGTAAATGTAGTGAAAAGACAGGAGTGTATTTAGACAGCTCGAATCCCTCATTTTCCACTAAACTTATATTTGCAAAGCAGTGTCTTCTTGAATTCAGGAAGATCAACAGCCACGACGATGCAATAATCCACTCCTCAAATGTAGCTGATGGTCTCAGGAGCAACAATTTGCAAGCCAGTTTCTTCAAGTTAGCTGGTCAAAAGTGAGGAAAATCAAGGTAGTTCTTGGTAAGCCAGTTACTCTTGTTGTGCTTTTTCAGTGTAAAAGACAGCTGTAAACTTTTTCGTTCCAGCAGGTATCTAACCAAGTCAGATTACCCTTATTAAAAAACACTCACCAAACTGTTCCCTGTCTGTTACAACCAGTATCTCTGCTGCCTTGTGTACTCACCCATTTCAAACCTTAAAACCTATTTTACAATATTTAGGGATTACAGAACTTTCTTCTTTATTCTGTGACAATTTTATCATCTGCAGCCCTCTCTCACTTAAAAAAAATAGTTGACTTTTCATTGGTCACAGAAAGAAAAACAAGAGATCGACTTTTAATCCAGTACTGAACAAACTTTTCCTCAGAGGCAGGAGTCCCTGTTTGTGTCCTTCACTCAAACCAGGCAGAGTGTACTGGGGAAGTGATGAGTAAGTGTTCCTAGAGCTCAGCCCCTACAGTGCTGGGTGTGTTCTGTCTTTGACTAGAAGTATCACCCAGCTGCTGTCCCAGCATCTCGCCTGGGACCTGCTGTGTCTGCCAGAGTGCACAACAGTGAGCAGACTGCCCTTTGCTACAGATCTGAGAGGAGAAAGGACAAACATGAAAAACCTTCATGAACTTTGATATGTGCCAGGGGGCTGAGCACTCTCCTGCTGACAGGGCTTGGGTGGGTTTGCGTGTTTTCTGTGGACAAGCTGTTGGAACAATTTACAAGTCTGATTCTGGCCTGTTTGCTTATGAATTGTTGTCCCAGTGTGAGCTTTGACTAATTTTTTATTTTCTCAATAAAATTGAGACTAATTTTTTATCTTCTCAATAAAATTTTTTAGATGTCAAAATTCATACGTATCAACTTTGCACAGACATATACAGTGTTCTGCTGGCTTGTTGTGATATATAAATGAGGGATTTTAATACCCTGGTATCTTTTGGAAAGACTTTGGGTCTTCTAAAAAGGGGAAGAAAACTCTTCTAAAGCTGACTCTTGCCAAGGTGAGAAGAGCTCATAGCATGTGTCACTTATAGGAATGGCAAAGGGATAAATATCCACCTTCACACAGGAGAAGGGAACAGCTTTGGTTGTAGTAAACTCAACCTGAACTCTTTGTGTGGAGTGTCTGAATACCTAAAGGGCCAGCTGAGGCAGCTCAGAAACATGAAGCTATGCTTTCGGAACTTGTGTAAGACTGATGAGATACTTGATGACTGAATAAAATGTGATATCTGAAGTAACTGGAAAAAAAACCCCAAATGCATTATCTGTCTTTAAAATGGGAAGGAAAGGCAAAAATGAAACATCTTCCAGTATATATATATATGTGTGTGTATATATATATATATGTATTAGACTTAGATATTCAGATTTATGAGTTGCCATGTTCATGCATATACTCGTCAGCAAATGTCAGATAACAATTCATAATGAGGCAGAATTACAATAAATTGCCTTAATTTGTTTTCCATATGCTAAGCATGCCCACATGTCCACATATGGATCAGCTGATGCACAATAACTTGGTGATGAGAAAAATTACTCATATGTCTTAAGGTTTTACCAATTCTGAGTGACTGACTGTGTGATCTCTTAACAACTCATTTTTGATCTGGTTTATCAACAAGAACTTTTATAGACTGACATCCATCTTGCTTTGTTACACAAAAAGATAAAACCAAAGCAGCTTAAGCATTTACAGGCAAGCTTCTATTAGTACGTTGCTGACTATTTAGTTAATCAGCACTTTGGGTTTCTCATATGCTTAATGACATTTATGGTCCAAACCTAACAAAATTTTATAAAAGTGTGTTTAAAATTAATTGAGACTTCTGTTGAAATCACTCTGTTACATGGAGTATTAAGATTTAAAGTTAAGGCTACTTCATTAGAACTATACAGGATTAAAGAATGAATTAGAATTGTAATCTCTGAATTAATTGTGTTCCTGTTCTCTTAGATGTGTTTTTCTGTAAGGGGTTGAAGGTCTTTGTTCTAAGGCACCTAATTTGTCATGTTACATAGAAGATACTTTTAACAAATCTAGCACTTAGGAGATGATTCACCCTCGTGGGCAAAAAAGGGTGGAAGTCATCTAGCACTTGCTGCATACTGGTTCCATGTTGTTTGTTGCTCAGAAGTGAAAAATAAAATAAATAAATAAATAAATAAAAAGGAAAAAAAAAATAATAAAAAGAGGTAATTCTGTTCTACAGCTGAAATATATAGGGAGCTTTAGAAACTGATTGGTACAGGCAAATTTTTCTGTTGCTGTTTCTACATTTTAAATTATCTCATTACCATGTTTTCTACTACAAAGTTCTTTTGTTTCAATATTATGATACCAAAATTTGCCATGATGACAGTGTGGTCTTGCAAGCTTAATTTCAGTATTCTGTAAAATCTGCTGAGGGGCAGAAAATAAGCCTCTGGAATGAGAGCTGCTCTGTCCTAATTGCGATATTCCAGCTGGGACTGTGATTGTGTATTCTTCAGAGTAGTTCTGATTTGCCCCAAGGTATTTGTGTCCCACAGCATGTATTAAACTTTTTAAGGATAATAACTTCACTAAAAAGCTTGCTCAGTAATCTTACTGTTAACCCTGCAACATTATTAATACAGTATTGCATCATAAACTTCTATACTTCTCACAGCCTTCTAAAATTGTGTTTGCTGAGGTTTACTGTTTGCTTCCTTGGAAACCAGTAGTTGTTTCAACATTTTGTGTTTAATACCCATCCTAGAAGTGGCCTTATGGAAGTCAAAATAAATTGTGCAAGAGGTTGTCAATGTTCTGTGTATTTTTCTTTGCTCAGTCTATTTCAGGTAAATAGAAATGTCCATTTCATGAGAAATAAGGGAAAAGTTTCTACTTATTTAATTCTCTTTTGGCATCCAAAATGGACCTAACATGGATACTGAATTCTGAAACAGTAGTAAAATGTTAAGATTGCTGCCTTCCCATGGTCCACTTAAAAAAAAAAATAAAAAAAAAAATTATAAAATAATTATGTGTATATATATATATATATATACCCTGCAAACATCCACCTAATCAGGTATTAACCAAAAGTCACTTCTTGTTTCTGTGAGAGAATTTTTAACAATAACGTATGCCGATAATATAAATAAGAAATTACATTTTAAGAGGATAAATTTATATTGATAAATCTTGGTACACTTGAAAATTGTCTCTGTGGAAAAATGTGTAGGAAACAGGTAATAAAATGGAAGCCAGTCAGAGATATTTGTTTAAAAGAAAAAAAAGAAAAAAAAATCTTGTTTGATACTTATTGTGAGACATATAGGTAGGGTCTGCCCTTCCTTCTGCAAATATCGTCAATTTACAGAGTCTGCAGAAAAAGTCAGTATTAAGGATTTAGCCTTTGAAAATCGACAATGTTTTCAGCTCTCATGGACCAGAGGCTGGACTTTGTGGGGCTTTGCTTGCCTCACATGCCTGTTGAAGACCAGTCTTGAGGCATAGGCGGAGGAGATGATTGCCCAGCTCATTGAGAAGCTGGAGCCAAAATAAATGTTTGTGCTTGTTGCTCCTCTGAGGAATCACTGCCTTGATACTCATTATCTCAGTGGTGACAGAGGGGGAAAGTGGCTTCTCTGGAGCTCTCTTTCTGTTTGTAGCATTCCTGGCCTGTTGCTGCCTGCTCCTTTCTCCTCTTTACTACACCTCCAGAAGCCTCAGACCAATACAAGCATGTATCTTTTGTCCTTAATTACTTCTAACCTATGCTCTTATTTTAAGCCAGTTGACCTTAATCTTGCAAATTCTTAAACTCATTAAGGGAAATAATATTATGCATGTAAGTTTTCCTGATGATTTCAATCAACTGACTAATGTAGAGAAGTATTGCCATGATGAAATGTCTACTGAGAGTTTTTTAGGAAGATAGTTTATATAAAAATCACGATTAAGGTTCATTTATATGTATCTTCTACCATAATAGGTCTTCTACCTTAGTTATAGTCAAGCAGAATTTTCCTTTTACTCAGAAAATTTCCAACTTAAATTGTTATTTACAGCTTGAAATTCCAGCATAATATTTCTGTGGGTGGGGGAGAACAAAGAAAAATACCTGTATCCACAAGCATCAGTAAATCGATTATGCGGTGTTAATGCTCAGACGCCTTTCCTGTTCCTGGCCGCGCGGCAGTTGTATGTTCCAGGTGGCCATGCATGTTGCAAGCCATACATCTGAGATGAACAGAGTGTGATGTTACTCCAGCAAGTGTGCAGGCTTCGTCCTTACAGCGGCTGGCGTCACCATGAGCACGGAGCCCTCCCACTCCTCCTTGGTAATTGATGGTGACAGGCTCTCTGCTGAGCTGTCCCTAACGTAGGGACTGAATCAGATCAAGAGCTGAGAGAAACGGCCAGCGAGCAGTCTTGCTCCGTATAGACAATAGCTGGGCCCTTTAAACCAGGCCTCAGAAGTACAGCTACTCGCAATAATGGTCAGTGTGGGCTGATCCGCTGAAGTTTCCGCTGGTGCGCTGCTTTGCGTCGGAGGTTTCGCTCCTGTAAGAAGTGTTGCTGCTGCTGGAAGGGCTGGCCTGCTTGGAGTGAGGCTGACATGCTTGACAGACGCCTGATGTCTCCTCAGACTAAGCACATTGCTCCTGGGGTAAGCATATGTAGTAGGAGTGCAGGCCAGATGCTCGGGAGCCCTTTAATTTTACAATGCGATGTAGGGGCTGGCTTGCAAGTTAACTTGATTACAGTTAAACTGTTTCACTTTGTTCTCATTAAGCCAAGCTGAAATGTTGAGAAATGTGCCAGCCTCTTTGTGGAAGTCCAAGCCATACTTCTGAGCTTCCTTTTTTGAAACTTGACATACAGTTTGGAAATACTGTAAAAAAAATGAGTTGAGGGTGAGGGAAAGCACTTGCAGGTGGCTGCTGCTGAGGGCTTCTGTCTATGACCCTATTAAAGTAATTAAAAGTGGCTTGCTGTTCGTTCCGTGATTTTGGGGATTGTGCTAAATTGTTTTCTTCTCAATATGAAAGCAATGGGACTCTCTGCTGGCAGTAGCTTGAAGTACATTCTCTCTACAGACACAAAGATTATGCTCTCTATTTTTGTTTGGGTTAAGTTGTAACACATTCACAAGTCTTGGTTTGGCAGCATTTGACCAGGTATGTGAATCCCGGGGCCAGGGAGTTTTACTAGCAGGCATCCCACTACAGCTGTGCTGTAAAATAAAATTTAAATAGATGACAAATATTGTTTTTAAGGTTCAAATGGATGTGCTTTTTCTTTTTACGTCATATAAAATAAAGCATGGGGATTGAAGTGAAATTAACATAAACGTAGATTTAAGCTGAATGTTTGGCTTAAACTTGCTTCTTTCTATAACATTTATGAGATATTTTAATAAAATTGCAGTAAAAGAACAGTACCTTAAGCATGCCACTAGCTTTCCAGAGTTGTTCTGAGAGAAGTCAGGGGCATTGTCTTGTGTAACAGAAGCTCCACAGTTTTTTTTCTAGAAGGAAATCAGATTTGGATCATTGCTATTCCCAGGTTATTTAGGGATCTCCACAAAGGAAACTGATTAGTTATTGCTAATATCCATTCTGTTCTCCTCTTATGAACAACTTTTCTTTATAAACAACTTATTTTTACTCCAATTGGACTGTGCTCTTACGTTTGTGGGGGAAGTAACACAACAGTGGGTCTTACAGGAAGTGTGCCGTGAAGCAGGAAAGGGTACAACTACAATATACAATTCCACTGGAATTATTTTTGGCATGGATGTCCAGAATAGTAGAAATCAGCTACTAATAGAATCACAGAACCATTTATCTTGGAAAAGAACCTTACAATCATTGAGTTCAACAATAGCTATAGCTGTCTTTAGTCTTTTCTTACCTAATTAATATCGTGAAAATCTTAAGCCTTTATGTTTTAATTTATATACAAGCAATTATTAAGAGCTCTGATAAACAACATGTGTTGGTATTCTCAGACAATCCAAGTATAATTATAGGTGGGGAGAAATCAGAACAGATATTTTTTCATAGGAGAAGCATGTTGTAAAATGAAAGAAAATGCTCAAATTGGAAAATACTGTTTTCCTCAAGAAAAAACTGAAAATGATGTTGAAACTTAGCACAACTAATGTACATGTTTCCATGCAGCATTTTCATCTTACTTGTTGTCAAATAATGTCATCAAGGAGAAGCTGAACAGAGTAAAAGGAAACTTTTCCCTCATATCACATCATTAAGAAGTCCAGATTCTATTTAGCATGATCATAGAGGTCCTGTTAGACAGAGGAGGAAGTTACTGTTTGACAGGGTAAGAGAATCACAGGGAGTGGTGCTGTGGATATACAGCCCTCATAAACTGAGGAGCAGCAAAAAAAGAAGAATAGGTGAAGTTAAACACAGAAAAAAACGAGTAAAAGGGGTTCAGCCAGATACATGGATCCCTTAGTATTTGGTCAACCCTTTTTTCAAGGTGATAATTGATGATTATTCTGTTCTTGTTTCCTCAGTTTTTATTCTAGTCTCCAGATACGTCATGAGGGGAAGGCTATTTTGCTTTGCTAATGTGAATTTTGGCTGTAGTCACTTCTTGTTCAGAGGCATTTTACAGGAAACCGTGCTTGCAAATTAGCATATTTCTTTTAGCAGTACTAGTCTTTAGACTAGTCTTTAGTCTTTTTTTCTAATTGAAAAAAATAATTGTTTAAATATCTAGGAGGAAAGTAATCGGAAAGATTAAAGAAGAGATGTAGCTTGAGAACTTTCATATTGTTGGCATGATGAATTTATTATTGATTATAGTCTTTGAATGGCAGTTGTTGCATCAAAAGTAGATTCAAATTGTATAATTGACCAGAAATTCAGTTAACTGCTTTATGGGTACATTTTTCTAAACTTCTAGATAACAGAATGTCCCTTGGAACATGTTGACCCCTGATGTGTTCAAGTTAATTAAAATATTATAACAAAATTAAATTAAAGATTACTTACTGCATAACCATTAATACATTTTCACCACCAACATAGAAATTCTGAGGTACAGAAACTTCAGTAACTGTCAGAAAGTGTAAGAACATTTTGTCCTTACTTCACCCTTTATGCAGAGAAGTGGCACCCTGCCTTTTTCCAATTTACCCAAATTTACCTGAATTTTTATTTTTAGCATCAGTGAAATATATATTTGCTGGTAATATTTTTAATTCAGTTTCAAATAGCAGTGAACAAGCCTGAGAATTCATAAACTTGAAAGGGCAAATTCTGCTATTTGCTTCCCAGGATCCCTGGTGTGGAGCTGCCACAAAAAAAAAAAAAAAAAGTGTAAAAGGACAGGAGGTAAAGTGCTTTGAAACTTCAACTGCATTCAGATATCCATTTTATAGACTATTAAACCACTGGGATGCTTAATTTTATTTTTTATTTTTTGAATTTATTTTTTTTACCATAAGCCAAAATACAGAAGATGTCAGAATTTTGAAAATAGGTTGTCTAATTACATATGAATATATATAAAAGTTTGCAATATTTTAATCACTGATCCCTAAAGTCCTTTGTTATAAATGCACTATTTCTTTAGAATTTTTTTTGTGCCACTGGTACTGCATGTACATGACACAAAAGCCTGTAGTTTGTACTGTACTTGTAACTGCTTAATAACTGCAACCAATGTTCTGTGACAATGGTGATTTGAAAATTTTCTGACAGATTAAATGCTTACATTGCTGCTCATGGCATCAGCTTATATTTAAACAAGCTGCTGAGTATTAAAGCGCATGGACAGTCTTTGTATAACAGCTCTGATTTCTTAGGTTTATTTCCTAAGACAAGATTTATGCAATCCCACTTTCCATCTGTTAGTTGTGCTTCTCAGGACCTTCAGTGGCCGATTTAAACCAGCCTTGCAGAGGTCTCAGAAGCACAGAGTGATTATAGCACAAGTTCTTGGGGGCTGGAGGAGCTGTTAAAGCTATTTCCTCAATGGGCCAGTGTCTGGAAGGCAGCATCCATCCAGCTGAAGAGAACAACTTTAACTCTGCAACAGAGCAAACAAATGCTCACTCCTGTTCAGCTCAGGGAAAGGGAAGAGTAGTTCAGGGAAGGGAGGGGAGCTGAGGGTACAGAGCATGTGGTGTGTAGGGAAAATGAGAGAGAGCTGAAAGTTTTGTGGAGGTGTGTGTGGGAACCCAAGCTTCATTACTTCTGCTGTCACTAAACAACTTTTTTCTTCAGCTCATTAATGATACATTGCATTTTGCAGTATTTTACTGGGTATAAACATCTATTTTTTGTCTGAATGTTTTGAGGCTGCTGAAAGGATGCTCTCAGATTGATGATTTATAATATTCATCACTCAAAAATTACTATCTGGCTATTTAATGGTATTGAGAGAATACTTGTATCAGAAGAAAATATCATTTTAAAGGTCTGCTGGGTATAAAAGCTAAATTTCACTTTGAGTATGCTCATGCTGATCAAAGGATGCCTGTAGAAATACTGCCTTACAGACACAGTAATTGTCTTGGTGTCTTCTCAGTTTAACAAAGTCCTCAGTCAAGTATGAATTATCATTTCTGTGCAATTCCCACAGTCTTAGGTACACAGTTCAGCAGCTCACTTCGACAGGATGGAGTTTCCTTGAAAAATTCTGTGACCAAAGCATGCTTGGGCTTTACAATTTTTTCTTTTATTAGAAGCCTTACAGTTGGGGGTGGATTAAAAGACCTTTGAAGATCCCTTTCCCACAGAAAATATTCCATGATTCTGTGATTTTGCCTATTTGTTTAAGCAACATTAAGTGACGGATATTTATTTGAAAGGTTCTGGTTGGTTTTCTTCGTGTCACATTTGCACATACTTTATTGTTCTTGTAAAATGATAAAGTTTCTGTGAGCAAACAGTGAAACAAGTATTTTCAAACTATAGGATTATTTGAAAGAGTCATCTCTTCAATATTTGCTCTCTAGAAACTTTTAAATTAATACATAGAGACACTGGAAAAAGTAACTTCTGAAGTTTTAAAATACTGCTTTTCATCAATATTTCCAGTTTGTCTTGGAAACAGGGTCACTGGTATGTGAGAAACAGGTTAATGCTTGATTACATAATTGTTTGAATAGCTGATGCTATGGTGGAATGCTGGGAAAGGCACTTTCAAACTAAACATTTTAATAACTTTCTGCAAAATTCAGAGTAAATCAGTGAGTTCGTAGGACACAATAATATTTTCTGGCTGAATGTTTTCTGTCATGACAATGTGATCAGGTTCTATCACTTTGAATTCAGATAGATCTCCCAGCTTCACTAGAACTTGTATAGACATAAAAAGCCAGGCTTGTAATGGCAGAAGTGTTTTATTTTAGGAGAGGTTTAAGGTGTCAGAACTGAACTACTTGAGAGAATAATTTCCTTCTTAAATTTTAAAATCAACTTTCTGCATTGATGCTGGTTCAGTGTAAATCCATTTTTCTATTTTCATGGACAACACAATATACGATTTAGATTCAGGTTTATAAATTTAGGAGAGGATAAATTCATGTATCTTGGAGTTCAAAATATTGTCTTTTTATAGGTTGTTAGCATATTAAGATCAACAGTTATGGATTTGATTAGGATTCTTGTATTATTGACTTTTTGCCCCACATGCTAAGTCAAATGTCTAGCAAATTTTTTGTACTTAGGAAGTGTTTCTCAATGATTTCAGAAATCCTCAACTAACACACCTTAGGCTCATACATCTGAACCTATGAAAGGTAGTGGGGGATGACTTCTGAAACAGAGGAGCAGGTTCACCTTTAAAACTCTAGTCAGGTGGTAGAAAATGGCTGAATGCCTTTCTTGCAGTATGAGAGTCCTGCAGAGAAGGAGAGCCCCACACAGAAATGCAGTTTGAGATATGCTCTTTGCCTGGATGCATGAGCTGTCAGCAAAGGGGAACCAGGCTATTCAGAGCATTCTTCTTATGAACATCGACGAGGAATTGTGGCAAGAGGAAGGTAAAGAAAAAGTGCAATACAGAAAAATGCAATTGAAAAATCACATTTTTACATTTTACATTTTTATCTAGATTATAACAGAGGAAAAAAAAAAAAGTCATTTCAACGTAGAAGAGGAATGACCTTTGTACCTTCTTACTCTCTGCCAAGTAGTCACCTTACTCTCTGCTAACAAGATCCTGTTAATTTGAGTGGACAAGGAAGATTGACTCAAAGTACCTTACCTTCGTGATGCATCTCATCAGGGCAGTTCTGAACATGTTGTTGTAACACATTGCATTAATTCTCTGTAAGGAGCAACTTACTGCACTTACTTAATCCCTTGCATGGCAAACTGCTCTCCCTGCTTAGCTGACATTTGACATGGTTCCTCCAGCTGTGTATTCACTGCAACACGCTGCGAGTTCCTAGCCAGGGGTGCACATCTGGCTCCCTGCTCGTTAAACTGATGTACATTTCTGTTGTGCCAGGGTGACACCCAGCCTCACAGGTGAGAGAAACAT